TCCGCTACGCCTCCGCAACTACTGCGCATGCGCCAATCTAGCGCAGACCTTGCGGAGTTGCGGACGGGGTTGCGGAGGCGCCTTACGAAATAGCGGATCTCGAGACCTACGAGAATCGGCGAGACTTTCCGGAACTTCCGTTCCGTGCTCGCTGGCTGGCACAGCTGGCTGAGCCCTTTCTTCCCTTCCTTCTCAACGTGCCAAGATGGACGGTGGTGCTTGTGCTTCGTCGTTGGCTTCGCAGCCTGCTTCCCGTAGAAGGTTTGCCATAACGGACGACATCCTGCTGCTACACGAAGTGTAGCCCTGAACCCCCTGAGGAATGCGACGCAGTGGACGGCGGTGACTGACAATCTAAATGCGGCCACTGGTCGATCCTTCACCGTTCACTCGGTTCGGGAGCGATGTGATTTGCTTCTTGGGCATTTCCACCGGGAAGACCGGAGCAACTTGAGGAAGTAAGTCATAATTATTTTAGCAATTATTATTGGAGACTTAAGGATGCAAGGTGCGTGGCGAATTTCATTCACATTTCTCCCGAATTTCACAAAATGTAGATCCGGGACTGAAGAACAGTACACCGTCAAGGAACAGCTGCTCCAAGAAATATCAGACTTGGCCCATGAGTTCGGCTCTTTGCCGAAGGTGCTGCCACGAAGCAGCAGTGCAGTGGCTTCGTCCACGATGGGCACGGCGGCAGGACAAGTGTCCATTCAGCGGGTCAGTGCGTCAGCTGACCAGCGTGCTGGGCTCGCGATAAGGGAAGCTGCCACCGCGTCGGGATCGGCCGCCGCCGCGGCAGTGGCTACAGGGCAAGCTGCAGCCAAGAGAGACGAGAATGGTACGTCTGATTTGTTAAGCTCTTTTGTACTGAACCACATAGTCCAATTTTCAAACTAAAACGTCGATGCAGTGTTAAGGTTTTGCGACACAAATTTTACTTTCCTTGCCTTTCACCGAAAAAACTACTCTGCCGAACGCTGCAGATCTCCGCCGAAATGGAATGCTAGCGGATGGGATCGATAGCGCCACAGTAATTATGGCGATCTGCAGTTCATTTTTGCGGTAAGAAAAACGCGGTTCTCTTTTCTTCAAACACCAGTACGGAGTGACTGTGTAGTGAAACTCGCAATATCTATCACGTATAAATCTCTAAGATGCAGATCAACAATGCATGGCACAAACTGAGTATCACTTCATCTCATCCCTAGTAGTAGGTACGTGCATAGGCGTAGACTATGGGTGGCATCGGGGCTCGTGCCCTCCCCAGGCCCGGGCCATGATCCTTACCGAGACGCTGTTTACGTGCCATGTAACGAGCTTCTAGTAGCGGCATGTAAACAAAATAACGCCCACGTTGCCTTTATTGACAAAATACATGGGAAATGGAATACCAGCGTGTTTTCGTTAGCTTCAATCTCCAGTTCTGTCGAGAAGGTAATGCGCAGCATCCCCCCCCTCCCCCCCCCCCCCCCCCCCCCCCCCGGGGAAAATGGAAAGTCTACGCCGCTTGGTACATGTCTAGCAAGGTAGTATATATCTTAGAAGTACTTCGAGCAAATTACTGATGGTGCCCTTCCAAGAGATTTAAGCGGTAAGTGATAATTTCCACAAGAATTGTGTATCGTGATCCCTTCAATTTGTCACAGCAAACCGTGCGACCACACTTCTCAGGACTGTGTGTTTTAGCTGCACCAGATGTGCACGGTGTAGAAGCTTGCATTCGACTTTTGTATCAGGCACCGTCTGCTTAATGGGAACTGTCTGCTCTAACAGCTACCACTGAAGTGTCCCAGCCAGTGGCGTACCAACTTGTTTTTGAATGGGGAGGCAGACCAGAACCCCCCCCCCCCCAGGGCCGGGGGCAGTGCCCTTGATATCCCTGTGGCGCAGCCGGCTAGTGTTTGCCCTGCCCAGTGGCGGCTGTTTCAGGGGGCGCAAAACACATGCCTTGCCCTTCCCCCCCCCCCCCCCCCCCTCTGAAAACTGGGGGGCTTCCTTGCCCCACCGGTTGGTACGCCCATGGTCCCAGCCCGTGTATTAAAAGAAGTCAAATTTAAGAGTTTTACGTGCCAAACTGGTGCAGGACATCCTGCATGCCGCTGCGGTGGATTAAGGATTAATTTCAACCACCTGGGGGCTCTTTAGACATGAAGCCGAAATCTCGATTACACGGCACCTTCCCCGCAAAAGCCCATGTCAGATTGCGGGCACGTCGGCCGGGGTTTGCATCCCCCATTGGAGGATTCGTAGGCTAGCACTTTGCCTACGAGCCAGCAAGGCGACATTTTTTGTATTGATATGGGAGATTTAATTTTCCATTTATGCAACTACGGCATGATCAGTAATTTTGGTCATTCTACATCAGGGCATTTGTTTGAACTATTGGTTCTGACTGCCCCCCTTCCATTGCTACAAAAGATCTTCTCTCTAAAGTAACCGGGTGTGTTTAGCAGATTTTTCAAGTAAAAAGTATTAGATTACCATTTCAAACACAGATCAGGTCCCGTAACATCTGCTGTTTGCCATATTAGGTGATTTTGAGCTGTAGCAGTGTGCTCATGCACAACACCAACTGAATATATCGCATATGGTGCCTTTCCTTGGTTTCATTTCAGGAGATGCACAGTCACCGGCCCGCAGGCTGCTGCTGCAAATGTGCGAGTCGGGGGACCAACCAGCCATAGTTACCAGGTCCTACTTAAATTGTTGTGTCATTCTTACTTCTGTGCAGTTTACTTCAACTAAAAGTATCTGCTGCTGTAATTTCAGTACTTTCTGCATCAGCTGGTGTAATATCTTAATTGTAATTGTTTTTTAGAGCGCAGCTCTTAGGGGCCTGTAGGAGCCCGCAACAATGGCCGCAGCACGGAGCTCGCGTCACGAGCTCCGTGACGCGGGTCACGCGCAAATTAAAAACGTGCGGGCAGTCGGAGCCCGAGCACCAATCGATTCGGTCGTGTTCTTTTCCCCATAAATGGTGACCCGGACGTGATATGAGACTCCTACGATCCATGCTACCAGGGGGGGAGCCCTGTAGGAGCCCGCAACAATGGCCGCAGCACGGAGCTCGCGTCACGAGCTCCGTGACGCGGGTCACGCGCAAATTAAAAACGTGCGGGCAGTCGGAGCCCGAGCACCAATCGATTCGGTCGTGTTCTTTTCCCCATAGGGCCCGTTTCCGGCTTGAGCGGCGTCGCCGTCGCCGTTGGCGTCGGCGTCGCCGTCGGCGTAACCGCGCGGTGCATTATGGGTAAATTTCCCCGCTAAATCTAGTGGAAAAATTTCCCCGCTAGATTTAGCGGAAAAATATCTCCGCTAAATCTAGCGTAAAAATTTTCCCCGCTAGATTTAGCGGAAAAAATTCCCCGCTAAATCTAGCGGAAAAATTTCCCCGCTAGACCTAGCGGGAAAAATTCCCCGCTAAATGTAGCGGGAAAATTTCCCCGCTGAATCTAGCGGAAAAATTTCTCCGCTAAATCTAGCGGAAAAATCGCGCAAAAAATTCCCCGCTACATCTAGCGAATAAATTTCCCCGCTAAATCTAGCGGAAAATATTCTTCGCTAAATCTAGCGGAAAACTTTCCCCGCTAAATCTAGCGGAAAAATTTCCCCGCTAAATTTAGCGGAAAAATTTCCCCGCTAAATCTAGCGGAAACCATTCCCCGCTAAATCTAGCGGAAAAATTTCCCCGCTAAATCTAGCGGAAAATTTTCCCCGCTAAATCTAGCGGAAAAATTTCCCCGCTAGATTTAGCGGAAAAATTTCCCTGCTAAATCTAGCGGAAAAATTTTCCCGCTAAATCTAGCGGAAAATTTTTCCCGCTAAATCTAGCGGAAAAATTTCTCCGCTAAATCTAGCGAAAAAATTTCTCCGCTAAATTTAGCGGAAAAATTTCTCCGCTAAATCTAGCGGGAAAAATTCCCCACTAAATCTAGCGGAAAAATTAACCCGCTAAATCTAGCGGAAAGATTTCCCCGCTAAATCTAGCGGAAAAAATTCCGCGCTAAATTTAGCGGAAAAATTTCCCCGCTAGATTTAGCAGAGAAAATTCCCCGCTGTCTAGCGGAAAAATTTTCCCGTTAAACGTAGCGGAAAATTTTCCCCGCTAAATCTAGCGGAAAAAATTCCCCGCTAAATCTAGCGGAAAAATTTTTCTGGGGGTCACATGACCCCCCCCCCCCTCCCCCCCCCCCCCCCCCCCCCCCCCGGGAACAGGTAACCCTCAGTACCCCCTCCTCAAGAGCTGCGCTCCAATTCGGTGTTACAGGGAGTTGTAAACGGCTTTCATTTTTCAACTACCATTAAAATTATTTTGGCATGTTCAAGCTCATTTCAACGAAGACGTTTACAACTCCCCGTGATGCCGAATCAGAGCACAGCTCTTGAGGAGGAGGAGGGGAGAGTACGGAGGGGACGGTATGCCCCTCCTCCTCATCCGTACCCTCTCCTCCTCCCTCCTCATCTACTCCTCCCGTGCTCATCCCCCTCTTCCTCCTCCCCCTCCACCTTCCTCCTCCTTCCTCCCGCTCTGTGCATTATGGGAAAAGTCCCATAAGGCACCGCGCGGTAACGCCAGCGGCGACACCGCTCAAGTCGGAAACGGACGCCCAAGAGCTGCGCTCTAATAAGAAAAAACGTCCGCACCATTGGCCTTTCCATAAGCATAAGGGACAAGCTTAGGTCTCAGGGATTGCAGAGGCTGTGTTGAAATCAACTAAGAGAAGAGGGAATGAGTAATTGAGTGTGCTATAAGTCGATTACACCATAGCGGTCGTTTCACATATACAGTGCACTGCTATCAGCACCGACTTTTGCAATAATATAGCGCTGACTTGGCACCGATACTGCTTCAGTATAGCCTGGTACCGGGGACATTGCAAGAACTTGATGGTGCTTGTGATTACGATAACTTACTTCCATCTGAGAGTAACATGTTTGATGGCATGCGCAAAAAAAAAAAAAAAAAGACTATCTTGCCTAAAAACTGTACACCTTGTCTAGTTCAGTAAGAAGTAAACTTGAGCGTCAAAGGCAGTCTCAACACCAAGAACACATTTGTCACCATAATGAGATCTCTTGAAATGGATTTCGGTGCAGAGAGATTTCAGTGGCTTTACGATTATGATGTAAGTTGGCTCCACATGTGAGCCTCATTGTATTCATGAACCGGCCTTTAGTCACAGCACAGTCAAAGGCTAGAATACAAACAAAGTGACTCTGAGATTAAAAGTGCAAGGTCACGGTGCATTCAGCGCACTTAATAGACCGATCTCACCAGGCAGTTTGACTATGCCACCGCTGTCGCAATGCATCGAGGGAACTTCTAGTCTTTCTGCACGTGCGACAACCTTGCTGGACCTCTGCACATGTAGAGCACGAGACAGCACGGCACGAGCCCTCTCATGCACTACCGTCTGCCTCCCGTGAGATAAAATTATGGCGGCGTCACGCATGCACCAAATGCTTAGTGAGGTCAGTCCATTGGTTTAACCATTGATATCACAAGCACAGAAAGATGAGTACAGTGACATGGTATTTTTGGTGCTGCTTTATTGGCCCCGTTAGCTTGTAACATTGGTTGTGCTCTGAGAAAATATAGCACACGGCAACTCTAAGGATCTGGAGCAAAAGGTTAAACCGCAGAATCCAGGGATCTGTCCCGAGTTTAGTCCCTGTGCCGGCCTGTTTATCCGGTCATGTAATCACTCCTCAATGATGCACAGAAAACAAGGCTCAAGTTATCAGCATTGCACTGGCTAAAGCCTACTTACTCGTCTGCATGCAGTCGCCAAATTAACATTCAGTGCTTTATTTGCTTTGCTTTTTTGTGTAGACATTGCAGACAAAGCAGTAGAATTCTCAAAGCAACAACAGATGCTGGAGGGGCTAGTATCTATATTTTCATTATCAAAGTATTTCATCTAAGTATGATGCCAACTACATCCAACAGAGACCCCGCCGTGAACGCTGCCAGCAATGATGACTGCAGCAGCCAGAACGAAAATGTTGTGTCGCCAACCTGCGACACCAGTCGCATCTCGGCATCACCACCGAGGAAGCGGAGACCGTTAGTACGCGGTGAGTGTCTAATAGTTCCCGATTATTGATTCTCCGTTTAGTTCCTCCTTGTGTGGATGTTGAAGGCAGTATTAGAGCTGTTTTAATTGGTATGCATTACAAATGAAATAAAATGATTTTTTCTAGTCATTTTGAGGCGCTCTTTCAAATGAGAAGAGCTTGTGGTGCATAAACATAAATTTCGTTCTTATTCAACTGCAAATACTATCTTAATAAGGCTGAGGCATTCGTTAGTCACGTGGTTCTCAAATGGGGATCCGTGAAGGCATTTTAGAGGTCCGCGAAGCCCTGCCTCATCAGAAAAGCCCGGCAATAAAAGTTGTCTTTTTTCGTATCGAGAAACGTTTCGGCTTTCGGGCGAGCTCGTGTGTATGTCAATAAGAGAAGTCTACTTCACACTAGCCCTTAGTCATATCCATTTATTAAATCATTATTATATTTAACCTACACCTTTTTCCTCTCTTCACCACAAACGGGGTCCCCCATCTTCTCCACCGAGCCACAAGGGGTTCGTGGAACACCGATAGTTGAGAAGCACAGCGTTAGTCCATTGAAAAACAATGCATTATTGGCTTTCCCACTTCTGTGCAGGCATTAGCCTCCATTGTACAGCAGACAGCTTAATTCCCACAAATACCCAATTCACTGTTCTTATAAGCACCACACACAGCAGCAAGAATCTAGCGACAAGAAATTTTTTCTTATGGGTAGAAACACACGTCGGAACTATTTGGGAGGTGGGGGGGGGCGATGTTTTTTGCCCCCTCCCCCATATTGTTTATATTCAACTTTTGAAAAATCTCGGGGGGGGGGGGGGGAGGGGGGGCGTGATGTGACATGACGTGACGTCTACCTCCTTGTTCCAACTCCACTAGTAAGAGAGCCCTACTGCAGAAAAAACAAAATGCTAACTGACTGATGAAGCACATAGCACAGGAATATGTGCATAGTAATTCCAGGTTCTCTTTTCTGGAGTGCACTATAGTAGGCGACACGTTAAGAATCCAAGGGAAGCTCCACCGATAAAGCACTCGATTCTTTCCGCTTTGGCAGAGTGAATGCCGGAGAAGAGGCAAGGAGGGACTCACCTCCTCTCCAGCGTTTGCTCAGCTAAAGTGGAAAGGGAGGAGGGCTTTGCTGGAGGAGCTTCCCCTGCACTCTTAACCAATCACTGATTGTAGAGCCCACTGACAAGTGGGCTCTACAGTCAAAACTACGCGGAGCTTGGTTGTTCGACTTTCCTTGACTACTGCTTGATGTGGCATGTAGAAAGTGACACCGTCACTGTCTTCGCTTTCTACTTTCTCCGCCATACTCTCTTTTCCATATTTTCGTATGGCTGAGTCATACGCAGACAGGATCTTTTCATTACGTCTAAGCCTTCTGGTGAGTTGCATCAGTCGTTTTTCAGCACCTTCCTTATTGTTCTGTAGGTGTACCCAAGGCTTCCAAGGAAGGGATACCTCGTAACGTTCTCCGTTGCTCGTTATCGTTTCTTTGAAGGACGTTAGTACGGAGTTGTTCGTACTATCGCTTTCGTCTTGCTTGACACCTATAGCCTCCAGATCCCAGAATTTTCGTAGAATGTTTTCGGTGTTCCTCGTTATTGCTGACGTCCTGAGTGCGACCGTTTGGGAGTGTTGTAACACTGTGGAGCTTAGGCTCATGGGACCGTGCACAGTCCATCCGAACGACGTCTCGATGGCCTTGATATTGCCATTGAGTTTCGTGACTTGTCCAGTTACAAAATCCCAATAATGTTCAGCGCCGATTAAAATGCCGATAGGGTTGGAATTGTCGTCGTTAGCGATAACCGCGATCGCATAATTCAGCTGACGTAGCTCCTGCACGACGTTGTTATCAGGTTGTGGCAGTCGTTGATCGGAAATTATGCTGGTTTCAAGAGCCTCAAGGTGGTAAGTATGTACATTCTGTTTGCTTTGCAGAGTAATGAAGACCATTCGAAAGTTCTTCTCTTGGTTATGTCCACCGAAATACCCTACTGCAAGTCGTTCGCTTCCCACAACTTTGCAGCCCAGTCTCCGAGATAAGTCTTCGGTTATAAAGGATCTCTGGCTACCGCCGTCAAACAATACTCTAGCCATCGCTTTGTTTTTGGTTCCAGAAGCCCACGCTTCGGCCGTTTGTAACAGCACTATCCTTTGGTCCGAAGTCTCAGTCGTTAATTTTAGCTGTAACGGAGCTGTGCCAGCGACATTCTTTTTTCCGCCGTTCTTAAATTTAGGGTCGCGCATCGTGGAAGCGTGTCGGCCTCGACAGTGCCTACATGTGATTCGTCTTCGGCAGTTCTTAGACATGTGGTTCACAAGGGTGCAGCGGAAACACCTGCCGTGTTTCTGTAGCATCGTCTTCTTTCGTTCCAGTGAAACTGTCGAAGTGCACTCTTCCGTCTTGTGTTCTTTGGATTTGCAAATGAAGCACGGTGTTCTGAGATCCGTTTGTTGAAGTAGTGCAGACGATGATGGTTTAAAATTGTTCTGCTTATCAGGATACCTTTTAACTCCTGTCAGTGCATTCGTTTTTTTTTTGTCAGAGGGTGCTCCAATCTCGCAGGAGTATACGTTTGTTCTCGACTTTCGATTTCTACCTTCAAGGCTTGGAGTAAAGATGTTAGCGCTGCTGGCTGTTCTCTAGGAACTCGCGCTCGCGCTCCTTCCTCATTTTGTTCTTGGGCGTTTCCTTCCTGTCGAATCGCCTCTCTGTTATAGTGAAACATCATCTCTGAAGGGAGGAGTCTCACGAAGAGATGATGTAGCATCGAAGAGCAAGATTCTTCACTCACCCCGAGAGACTTGAGTCCACGACTTAAGGCCTGCACATTATCGTAAAGACCTCGAAGTCCACGTACGTCTTGTGCAGAAGGTACCAGGTTAAAGTCAAGTAGCTTTTCCATATGATCTTGTATGAGCCGTTTCTCGTTGCCGAATCGGCTAATAAGGATGTCTACTGCATCCTTGTAGCAAATGGACGTTGATGGGAGTCCGACAATGGCTGCAGCGGCTTCTCCCGTTAGCGAAGTTCTCAAGTAAGTGAACTTGTCGCAAGCTGTTAGTGCCTCGTTGTGATGAACCGCTTGCTGAATTTGCTCCCAAAATGGTTGCCAGTGTCGCTGTTGGCCGTTAAACTTGAGAAGCTCAAGTTTGGGAAGCTTTACCTTTAAGGTACTCGTCGGTTCTCCAATTCTTGCACTGTTTCCAGAGTTTGTTGTTTCGGTCGGGGTTCGTTGTTGTAGAGTTCGGATTGAGTAGTCCAACTGAGCCAGGTAGGTGACGGCGCGGTCGTTGTACTCGAATGCCCGGGTGTATTCTTGTTCCGCGTCGTCCCCCAGGAAAGGCTCGATGGCGACATCTGTTTCGGTCATTTGGGTATGCAGACTACCCAATCGTTGCCTGAGGATTTCGATGTCCCGTTCGATGATCGGATCACGTTGAAGAGCAGCGTCGATGTCTGGTATCAGCCTTGTCAGCTGGCTTCGTAGGGCCTTCCGTTTCAGTTTCAGACGATCCATGAGTAGTCGTCAGCCGTGGCTTGAATGGAAAATTTCGGTAGTTTCCTCGTCCAGGTTCCTCTCGTTGCGTCTCGTTCCCGGGTTTCGGCACCATATAGAACTTCTGGACGTTATGGTGTTTAAATCGATTGCAACTTTATGTACACTATTTACAGTCAGAAAATCGACATCGAAGCTAGGCGAAAAAGGTTGGAGCCGGCCTGCCCCGCTGCTCGTGAAAATCGTCGGTCGATTTGCTCGTGACTTTGGGTTGTTCTGTCCGCTGTTTCGTCGTCTTCTAGTCCGACGTGGAAGTTTTTACACTCCCGGCTTGAAGTCGGGCATCACGGAGGAAGAAGAAGTTTTCCCAAGGTAGGAGCAGTAAATTTCATAGCTCCAGCGTTTTTCCTTTTTTCCCTGTTTCGGGGGGTTATGGCCCCCCAAAAGCCAACGGCAGAACACGGAAACCCTTCCGCGACTGGACCAAAGCATTCCTTGGTGGCAGGGACAAAACCACCAATACAAAAGACCGGAAAAAAGACGTGGTCAGGCACGGCCGCACCAACAGCCAGGATAAGCCTAATGGCTGTAGCTAACGCAACGACCTCAAAAATGAGGACCAACCCACTCTACACGATGAGGAAAGGCTTCCATGTAACAGAGACCACACCTGCCCTGGACCAGACTCAAAAAGACGACGAAAACATCCAGGAGGCCTCAGAGGAACGCCCTGAATTAACAAATGACAACTCAAGCCATTCATTGGAGGCTACAGTTATTGAGGACCACCAAAACGACTCTTCGGATGCGATGGAGTCCACTGATGAAACCGATGGGTTCACAGTTGTGACACACCGACGAAACAGGACAACAGGAGTTCCTGTCTTGCTCCTGCCAGCAATAGACGGTTCCAAGCTTCAAAACGTGAACCCGCTGCATCTTAGCGTTGATGTAACAAAGGCGGCAGGTGGAAAGATTCTTCACCATAGATTTACTCAGAAAGGAGGCCTACTCGTAGACGTTGCTGAAGAAGCCGCTGTGAAACGGTTACTCAAATTCACCGAACTCTGCGGCGTCGCCATCAAAGCGTCTGTTCCGAGAGCCTACACACAGAACAAAGGACTTATCAAAGGCATACCTCGATGGTACACCGTGGAACAGCTCGCAGAATACCTTCAGCCGCAAGGCGTGGTTGCCGTCAGAAGACTTTATCGACGAAATGGAATTACCACAGAGACAACTCCGACAGACAGAGTGGTCCTCTCCTTTCGCCCAAACTCAGAACGACCATCAGAGGTGAGCCTTGGCTTCTCAACTCACCGCGTTCATGAGCACACCGATGCACCCCCGAGGTGTTTTAAATGCCAAGCAATGGGACATGTGGCACAATACTGCACAGGCTCCCTCACATGCAAGAAATGCAGTGGACCGCATCACCACCGCGACTGTCCCAAAGATGTCAGGAAATGCACCAACTGTGGTGACCCTCATCCCGCAGATTACGCAAACTGCAAGGCACGCCTTGCAGCTCTGGCGCGTACGAAGGCGTTTCTGCGCGGCCCAATTCTGCGACCTGGTGAAAAAATACCCACAGAAACAGCTCCTCCAAGCTCGCATGACGTTGCTGAGACAACACCGACCCCAAGGTTCACGAAGGCAGCAAAAAAGAAAAGAAAACCTCACGGTAGACTACGGAGCATCACTTCTCAACAGATGTCGGACGAAGAGGAAGATTTTCCGTCTCTACCTCAACACCAGATTGACAGCGCGAATCACTCACATGATTCGTCATCTTCAAGAGACACCCAACAACAGCATCAGCACAAGGCACGACGCTACAAGAGTTATAGCAGCGCCCTAGAGGGACGCCCAACAGACACAAATCGGCCTGCAGCAACCATAATTCAAGCAATTTTTGCGACATTCTGTCAGGTTCTCATGAGCATGCCACAAGGACCTCACAGGGAAGCACTTCAAGGCATTCTACAACTGGAGAGCTTGATTCTCTCGTTGTAAAAAGACACTATAACTGCATCTCAATTTAAAGCGACGATGCCTGCAGACCACATAAATTATGTTGTGCCCACAATCCTTCAATGGAACTGTAGGGGACTCCAAGCCAAGATTTCAGAATTATCCTTGTACCTACAGCGGATCCCGGTTCCTATCCTTGCTTTCTCTGAAGCAGGACTTCCCAACAACCATTCTATAGCAGGTTACGAGACTTACTGCTGCCCGTCAATTTCTACATTTCCTAATGGAAGTGCTGCATTATACGTTCGTCGTGAGTTATCTCGATGTCAAATTCCGACTGATTCTTTAAATACTGCTGATGCCGAGTTTGTCGCTGTGAAGGTGTCTTCTAAGAAAACCACCATTACGGTTATGTCCATTTACATCAGGCCAGGCAGAGAATACGACATGATGGACGCCTTTGAAGACTGGTGCAATCAACACAAGCCAAATTTAGTTGTTTGCGGTGACTTTAACGCGCACCATACGCTTTGGGGAAGTGATTCAATTGAGAGCCGAGGTCGAAGGTTAGAAGAAATATTCTCAGCTACTCAACTGTCTATAGCTAATACAGGCGGCCCAACCTTTTTCAGGCCACCTTCCACATTTTCAGCTCTCGATGTTACAGCTTATGATCTCACTCTTAAGCTTTCTTGGAAAATTGCTCCGGATACTATGGGCAGTGACCATTTTCCTATCTGGATAACTCTGCCGGAATGCAGCAAGCCAAACACGAAATCGTACCGAGTGACTGATTGGGACGAGTTCCGAAATTCTGTGAGTAAATCGACAGCTCCCATTGTCACGACTATACTTTGCGCCTTGATGTTAAACACCAAAGTTGTCCGTCTACCAGACCACTTCCCGTCACCGGCTTTAAAACTACTTAATCTCACCGCTGCGCGTCGAAGGGCCCAGCGTCGTCTACGACGCCACCCAACTTCTTCTAATCGCACGACATTTAATCGTATTTCGGCCACACTTCGACGATATGCCAATCATTTAAGACGGTCGCAATGGTGGAACTTCTGCGAGGAACTGAGTGCGCACACACCGGGGACTAAAGTATGGAAAATCATACGATCCCTCACCGGTGACAGATGCCCCATTCAACCTTTTGAAACACTTGCCCTCGCTATGTCTAAGACAATAAAAGAGCTTGCAGAAGATTTCGCTCGCACATACGAGGGGAAACCAACAGTATCACCAGTGCCGCCCACAACAAATATTTCCAGCAATCCACTTGACGAAGCCTTTACTACCTCAGAGTTCACAACTGCCTTACGTCAATGTCGCCGGCGCAGTGCTACAGGGCGGGATGGCATATCTTACCAAGCACTTCAGAACTTACCCCTAGAAGGGATAACAGGACTGTTACAATTCTCTAACTCTATCTAGATGACTGGAAAAATTCCGGAAGAGTGGAAAACGTCAATTATCGTCCCAATTCTAAAGCCCGGGAAGCCGTCGCACGATCCGTGCTCTTACAGACCTGTGGCCCTCACATCATGTGTTGCAAAATTAATGCAGATATGATTCAGAACAGGATGACATGGTTCCTCGAGAAACATCAATTGTTACCGAATGAGATGACAGGGTTCCGCCAGGGTCTCTGTGCAACAGATAGTATCCTTGACTTAATCAGCAGCATAGAGGATGCAAGTACTCGGCGACAAACTACGCTTGCAATCTTTTTTGACGTTGAGAAAGCTTTCGACACCGTAAATGTTGGGAGCATACTTAGGCGGCTTACTTTTATGGGCATCACTGGCCGTATTCAGACATTTCTGGCAAATTTTTTATCCGGTCGGCAGTTTCAGGTTCGACTGGGAACTACGTTGAGCAGCATACATGGGAAAACTAGAGGCCTTCCCCAAGGTAGCATCCTCAGTCCAATACTCTTCAACCTCGCCATGGCTGGCCTGCCACAAGAGATTCCACATGGACCGATAGGAGTGAACTGTTCTATCTATGCGGATGACGTATGCCTATGGGCCAGTCACTTGAGACGCGACGTACTCCGCCGATCATTGCAACCAGCAATAACCTCTGTTCAACTGTAGGTACCTGGCTACGGTCGGACTTGAAATTTCGGTAAGCAAGACAGCTTACATGTTCTTCCCACATATTCAAAGGCGGTCATGTCCTAACACTGACTTATACCTGGGAGCTAAGACGATTCGGCGAGTCACAACATACCGCTTCCTTGGAGCCACCCTTGATACAAGACTTCAGGGAAAACCCCAGGCGGACGCCATAGCAACCGCTTCAACCAAATTTACCAACGCAGTCTGTCGACTAGGAGGTCAATCGTGGGAGAACTCCCCCTCCTCAATGCTTCGATTGCACGACAGCACTGTGATGGGACGCATGCTGCACGCTCTGCCATACGCCAAACCTTCAAACACCCAAATGCTTCGTCTTGAACGTATTCAACGCCAAGGCATTCGTAAGGCGCTTGGCGTCCCTCGGGCGACATAAAACGAAAAGGTGTACTGTGAGAGTGACACACTACCACTACCACTCCGCATTACAAAAAATCTCATGCAACACCTCATACGACTGCATAAATCAATACCTGGAACTGACCTTATAAGACGCCTAACAGAAAAAAAAGAGTCAAGGTTCAACCGTCTTTTGAGGACAGTATATTTCTTGGACCCACTATTACGTAGCACAACACCGCCTGCCTATGTAGACCATCCCCCCTGGCGCCAGCACACGTTCCTGTTCCAGGAGCATTTACCAGGGATCCGCACAAAGAAACACACTTCAGAAATCGTCCTTCGAAGAGTTGCTGAAGAGGCTATCGCACTGCTATACCCGGGAGCACTTAGAATATACACCGACGGCTCTGTACA